TGAGTATAGTGTATGAAAAACTATGAGCTACTCTTATCATAATATAGATGTTTCTGGTTCAAATAAGATGCTACTTTTATACTTTTTATCTAAACCATAAAAGTTGAATAAATTATGTATAAACATATTGTTAAATATAAATTGGGTTTTGATAAAAGAATTCAATTTTTATAGTGTAAGATGAAGATAGTGACACGTGATAAATAAATTTGTAATGATCCAAATTTAAAATTATCAAATTCATCATTTTCCTTATTTTCCAAATGAATTCCTATTACTCTTGCAAATAAATTTGTAATAAATTCATAATATTACTCTTGCAAATAATTATTTAACAAACGAATTTATCATTTAATTAAGATCGATTAAGCTCTTAAAATTTTGGTGAAATAATGATGCAGAAAGTCTTATCTTCTTTCGAGACAACTAAAAATATAAATGGAATCACAAAAGTATATCTGGGATTATTCCATTTTACTAGCCACTTCAGGTAGTTACTTTGAATCATTTTCGGTAATGGAAAGGAAAGTACATCAAAAAACAATATAAAAATGTAATTGAAATGACCTTGTTATCCCCTTAAATATAGTAATATGACATTATTATTCTTAAAGTCACGTGTAAAACTCCTAACTTGCAGTTTTAAGGCCATAGCAGTTGTAATTGGATATAATAATACAAATAAATGATTTTATAAACTCTAAAGATTTATACATACTCAATACTTTATTCACTATTCGTTTGTAATATTTGTATTTAAAAGTCAATGAAGATTAAGAATGGATAGTGAATGATACAGTGATCGTATAAAAAACTTTTACTCTGTCAGTGTATATATTTTTATCTTAATAAAATTAATAATGTTTTTTAGATTATGAATGTATTATATATTATTTATATTTAATATTATTTATTTTTAAATATAATTAATACAACAAGTGATGAATGATGTAGTGACTATATTATAATATATTAAGAATATAGAAAATGAATATGTAAAACACTGTACATCAAAACATTTGGTTATTTCGTTTTAATTACTTTTGGAACAAAACATCCGGGCTCTTATATTATATACAAGTTATTACTTGTAAGTGAGAGAAGTGACAAAACGAGTAGACACTTTTTGGATAAAGCTTCTTTATAAAATGAATTTAAATCTAAAGTTATTAGATTTTATTTATTAGTTAATTGATTAATAAGAAAGTGCATGTCAGTGGAATAAATTATTTTCAACAGAATCTGGAAGAAACTCACAGATATGTTTGAACCTATGAAATTCTAACCACTTCCATTCATATAATATATAAAAACATTATAGAAGAATAATTATCATGAGAACAATAAATTTAAGTATTACGACCATACATAAATAATTAAGATTATTGGTTATATGATAACTTCTTCTAATTACATATATTTTAACACCTTTCCTTATATCTCCCCTCAAAAGTGTATGTGATTTGGCAAAAGTTTTGAGCAACCATTGGCACAAATGTAGTATTCTCTTTCCTCTCAATTTGCCAAAAGATGAGAAAGAATCTCACACCAGATCATAGGGTTGATACAACAAATAGTTTTCATCTCTTAGGCCAAAATCGAAACATTACCTTTTTAAGGATTTCGTCTACATTTGAAGAAGGGTGATAGTGAAAACATTTCCAAATGTTTGATGCAAAACTACAAGTTGGATATCAAACCACATCTCGATCGATGCGGATTTCCTTTCTTTGTTATTCATATGTGTCTTAGTATTTGCATGCATTGATTCAAAATGTGCAAGCTGGTGGGAATTGGAGAACTAAGATATAGACCAAAGGAGGTCCTAATGCTATCGACATTGACCCAGTGATATCATTTTCTCTTTTGGTGACTTCACTCACTTATCAGTATTCGGTAACATACCTTAATTCAGTCTATAGGTAGCTCTTTCCGTAGTACAAAACTCAATGAAAGTACCAATTGTTAGGACTTAAACACATGAATAGAGTCCAACCCAAAAGATTAGTCTATTAGGTGGGAGAGTCTCATGACTTAAGTATCAGATTGAGTTTGTTATTCTACTCAATTTGGGACTCATAACCCAAATTGTTATGACTTAAACATATGAAGACAGACCAACCCAAAAGACTTGTCTATTAGGTGTGGGAAAATCTTTTGGATTAAGTAACACATTGAATTTGTTATTTTACTCAATTTGAACTCCTAACATATTTGTGCTCAACCCCTAAAGACATCATTTTTTAAATTTATCTGGCTCTCACCCAAAAGGTAAAAATCCGACTTTTGGAAGCAAAATTTGTTGGAGGGACAACCAAGCATCTCGAAAGATATTAGCTCCTTACGATAGAGTGTGAAGAGATATATATTGATTATACAAAAAAAAATTATATCATTTTTCAAAAGTATTATATCTTCTTTTGTAAATAATTTCCTTGTGAAATGCTAGGTTGGTGAATAAAAATTACTTTATTAATTGCCTTCTTGCTTTTTTTTAATATGGAGGTACGGTCGAAATTATACAAACCCCTAAACCTACTTATGGTAGCCGTTTGAATATCACAACGGTCCTTCTTGTTTGAACTGAAACCAGCCCAATTCCAAAGCCTATGACCAAATGCATTATGATCTTTTCTTTTAATAAATTTTGTAGGGATTAAAAACAAATAAAATTTACTTAGGAATTAAAAAATGATAAATATATATAAACTAAAAATATATATAAATATATATAAACTAAAAAATATATTTAAGGTAATTTAAAATATACTTCACTTTTAACTTTTTTATTTCAGCTTCTAACCAAACGATTTCACCCATCTTTAAAAGGGTGGGATCCACTTACTCCACATCTTAAATATTAATTTTAGGAAAATCCAATGATTTAGATTTATCCACTAATTCAAAACATTGAATTTCCCTAAAATTAATGTCTAAGATGTGGAACTCTTGAAGTCAATGAATCTCTCATCTCTTTAAAATATCGTAAACAAATTTAAGTAAAAAAAAAGATGACTCAGTGCATGAGACTTTCATGACCTCGTGGTCGATAAATAGAGTTTTGTTTCAAAAGATATAAAATGAGAGAGACAAAAAAAATAGAGTTTTGTTTCAAAAGATATAAAATGAGAGAGACAAAATATATAATCCTTGCAAATATAAAAATATTATTTTATGTTTTTTATATTTTTATTTTGAAATAAATGATAACTTACGATTAGTTTGGGACACAATGGAACATGAAATCTGTGACAGTTGATCCCCATTCAACATATACAGGCACATGAGAACCTACAACTGTGTAGAGAATGTGCTTCACTCGATTTATTTATTTCCTTTCCTTGGGAGAACACCACTAAAAGTGGAGGAAATAAAAAAGAGGAAGAATAAATATGGGTTAAGAAAAAAGTTGGTTTGGTTAGGATAGAAAATAAAATCTTTAGGGACTTAAGAAAAGAAAATATATCCTCGTACCAGAAGATAAGTTATATTCCCCGATCATTAAAATTGTGATACGTGTATCATTTTTTAGTTTTTAGGAACATTTTTATAAAATAAATACTAAATCGGACATATCATAATTTTAGTTACTAAAGGAAATAACTTATTTCCTGAGAAAATATTTTATTCTTTGTAAAATAAAATGGGGAACTAGATATATTTTTAGGAAGCCCTATATAATAGCATAACAAATTTTATTTGGGGATATTTTTGTCTATATTTTCATCTTTTAACTTATTATATAACAATTAATAAAAAATTTAAGAGATAACACAACATTTTTTATCATTGCCAAACAAAGAATTAAGAGTTTAAGACCAAGAATAAATTAAGATTCTGCTGTGGGGTTAAGGCAAATAAATTAAGAGTTTAAGAGCAAGAAGAGAAACAACAAAGAATAATTTCCAAACATGACTTCCTCTTTCTTTCAGGATCCAGATTGGAACATGTTGCAGATTGATCCTTCAGATATTTTCTACCAATCAATTTCAACAAGCAATGGTGCTGTTCATCACCCTATCAATGATTCTCTTTCCTTTGATAGGGTTGACCTTTCAATGGATTCAAAGTCACCAACCAAAGTGAACAACAACAATCCAAAGAAACTGGTGAAGTCTGAAGTCAAAGAAGTGAAGAATAATGAAGAAAGATCTTATATTGGTGTGAGGAAAAGACCTTGGGGAAAATTTGCAGCAGAAATCAGAGATACAACAAGGAATGGCACAAGGGTTTGGCTTGGAACCTTTGATACTGCAGAAGAAGCTGCTTTAGCTTATGACCAAGCTGCATTTTCCATGAGAGGTAAAAATGCTGTACTCAACTTTTCAGTCAAAAGGGTCAAAGAATCTTTGCAAGAGATCCAGTTATATGATTGTAGCACCAAAGGGTGTTCTCCAGCACTTGCACTTAAGGAAAGACACCGCATCCAAAGAAAATTGTCATCATCAAAAGCTAAAAGCAGTGAAAAGTGTAAAGGGAAAGAGCACTTATCAGAAGCACCAAGTGTGATGGAGGTAGAGGACTTAGGGGTTGAATATCTTGAGCACCTTCTAACCATATCAGATCAAAGTGCAAGCCCTAGCTACTTCATGTAAATCTTTTTCAGTTAATTTCTTTTTCTACTTTGTTCTTGTTGTTTTTTGCTTCATTTTTTAATGTCATCAATTCATCATCAATTACATCATTGTCCAGCATTGATTCCTGATCCATTTATAATATTTGAACCGATCCATTATTGCACCTAATGTCCCTTCATCATGTAATATTTATTTAGACCTTGCTTCAATATCTTTCCTTAATTAGTCTCTCTCAAGTAACAGCTGTTCACAAAAGCCTAACTTTTTCCTAGATGAGGTGGATTAATGAAATCTATAAACACAATTGAGTTCTATATAAACTTAGTCTTTAGAAAGGACATTTAACTTAGCTCCAAGTTCTTTTTTTGTGCCCTTTAATTTTTCTAATTCTCCCTCAACTTACAACTACTACAGTATCCTAACCCCTTTTACTTAGGACTTTTAAATGTCTTTTATTTCACATGACAGAATCAGAATCACTTAAGGCAATAACCAAACCATCATTTTCGAAAAAGGTACTATTGCTATTCTCTCTAACACATTCATTTTTAACCAAAGATGGGTATGTAAGTTCACTCATTCACAAGTATAGAGACATACAAATGGGGATAAGTTTAAATCACCCACTACCATATTTTAGCAGCACTTCTCTTGAATTCCATATGTAACATTTATAAACTTATAATACCATTCTTGTCTCAAATACTTTAGATCTTAATTAATGGTTGTGTCTAATATGTTGCCTGCAAAATGGTACATGACAAACAAAGAGTTAAGAACTTTGATCAATATATAGCATGTAGTAGTTTAACAAAGAAATGGTATCTCTCTTGGTTTTATCAATCACAGAAATCAGAAAAGCTTTAAATGTGAAAAGAGAACTTAAGAATTATAGATAAAGAACTTAAATTCAGTGAATACAAGAATGATATGAGAAACCTTGAATTCCTGCTTTAAGAATGAATTCATGTCTCACAATGAGATTCAATGTGATATATTATATCCTGCATGGTTTTAAATAGCAGTACCGCAAAAGTAATAGCGGTTGCAACATTGATATTGAAGGAGTCTGGGCAAGTGCATTTCAATTGGAATTGTGATGACATTGACTATATCTTCTGCAATTGCGATAAACTCAATATAACCACATCCGCAACTATAATTTCAATCCATGATTTCCTGCATAAAATTCAACTCTACCATACTAGAAGTGGTCTATAAAAGGAAGAAATCATAACACAGCCTACAATTTCCGGTTTAGATATTAAATATTGAGAATAATGAAATATAGTAGTGTTATAAATTATGCATAACGGGTGTCCATCTAATACAAAGGAAAGATCAATTATTAATCTTTTTAGAAACCACATTAATCACAAGTCTCTGATTCAAACACCAATTAGCAAAATATAAAGAGTTTTGATTTACAAAAGAAGAGAACCAAACCCAAGATCTTGTCTGAATTAAACCTAAAAAGACCAAAAAAACAGCTTCAAAAAATTTCAAAATTGCAATATGTTATGATTGCAAATTTGCAATCATGTTACATTTACTATAATTTCAAAAAATTGTAGGAAAATATGACTGAATCGGCTACAATTATCGTGAGGACTGTGTTGTGAAAACTTCCCAAATTGCAATATTGTTGGCTAATTTAGTATTGTGAAGTGAAATTCAAAACACTAGAATAGGCTAAATAATAAGTTGATCTTATCTTATGCCACCCCAGCCCCAAATTTGGAGGAAAGTAATATCAAGGCAATGGATGAAACAAAAGGAATTCATTCAATCAAGTTGCACTCCATTCATCATATATTTCAAATAACTCAAACAATAGAACTTGGTATCATTCCATTTCATTCCACTTAATTTCATTCAATTTTGCAGTTCAAATATAGTCTTACACTTTAAGAACATGAAATAACAAAAAGGCAAATTTCACACCAGTACACATGAATTATGGAAAGTTATTTAACGAAATGCAGCTTTAGACACTATTGATGTAGTTTATGATAGTTAGGAAAAAGTCTATTCATACTTGAAACAATGTGCTTAATGCCCTGAACCCAAACTATAAGGAGAAGATTCAATTGTGCTACTCATTATTGTAGGATCACACATTCACCATCAGGTGAAAAAAACTATATTTTTTGTTAGTTATGGTGCAACTTTATTTCATGTCATGCCTAGGGATCGAATCCATGACTTGATGTGATACCAATTGTAGGATCTAGCCCTTACCACTTGGACAAAAGCTAAAACCGACTTTATTTCCTTAAACCTAGTAGTTAGTTCCATGGTTCGATTTGACTCTGACAGGTCTTGCCTAGACAGGATTCTACATCACCACCAACACTCGTGTATATATATATACACAGATGGATGTAAATCATAGTTCTAATAAGTAAATGTCTAGTAATGAGAACTTGAACTTTATTAATAATACATTTAGATGAAGTTCCATTATTTGTAATTCAATACAAGTATCCAAAGAGCTAAATATTTCAAAAGCTTCACTTATGCATTGTACTTTTTCATCAATAATTTAAGCCATTCTACATTTCTAAATCCTTCCAAGCAGCAACATGTACATTTCATTAGGCCTATCTTCTCTTTTACTTTAAAAAATGAGAATGAGGAGATGAGTTAGCATACTCATACATATGATGATCACATCTACTATTTACTCTACAATGGCAGAAACATTCTACAGATAATGATCTCAAACTGTAAGCACACTAGCTGAATTGTACACAGACATATTAAACATTCATAACTTCTTTTATAAAACGAATATTTAAGCTTAAGACATAAACCTTGTAGAACAATATTAGCAAAAGGAAATATACCTTCATTGTTAGAAATTAAAAAGCATAAACCAAAGATGAATTCTATGCAAATTTTTGTATCAAGATTTAGGAAAAGAAACAATGTAATTCACACCAACCTCTTGCCTAGCATTTATCCGTACTGTTAATGTCCACCATCTTTCCCAGAACTATTTCCCTGAGAAAAAGAAAGCTGAAAAAAACTGTTGTCCAACAACATAGAATAAACAGTATATATGTATATGGCATAATATTAATTTCATTTTGATGGTGGAACGTGGAAGTGTTTAACAGAGGCAGAGGGAGAAAATAGAGGTTTAGTGTCCAAAATGAGAGTGAAAAACAGCATTACAATGTTAATGTATCTGACAATACTGTGTTTACCATTTACAATATTATATTCTTTTATTACTTTATATCCAATAATGTCACTCTATCAATGCTTCCCTGGCCAACACTTGGGTCCCCAAACAATAAAGCATGATTTTAATTTTGAATTTGGTCTCATCATAGATCAATTTAGAATCTAGAATTTACATTAATTAGAAGTGAAACACTAGGCAAAAAAAAATCTCTTACTAGTAAAGTACTTAAAATCCCAAATTCCCAATTTTTTTTGCTAAGTATATAATTATTTAATTTAAAATGGTATAAAAATTGGTAGCAATAGCATTCAGTTTTGGGAGGGTATTTGAGTTTCACAGAACTTGTTCTACATACTGCGTTGGAGACCTAAGATTATTACTATTGATGACTATTTTCAATTTTGAAGATTCACATCCTTATCTTTATTCAGTGTATATTGATAGATGAAGAAATGTAATAGTCACATTTGTTTATGTTATTTAGAAATGTGTTTGATGTAAAAAGAATATGTTGGGAGCGGTTGGTGTTTGGTCTATTTAGATGCTTATAAACAATGTGGCCTTTACAAACCAAACTTTTGATAAAGTGTGACATTTAACTAGATTTTATTAAAGTCAAATATTGAATTTGGTTTTCAACTTTGAGGGATTTCAATGTATCTTTTGCCTTATAATGTTTGCCCAGGGAGGAATCTTTTTGGGTAGTTTGCTCTATGGATTAGAGTATATCTTTTAATAGTAATATATAATTTGACTTTTAACCAAAACTAGGTAGATTAATATAACTTTGACCACATTAATATAAAGGCTTAGTTAGGATTAAACTTTACTCTCTATGTTTGACTATTTTTTATCAAGCAAAATCATTGTAATCTTAAAATATCTCCCCACATAATTAAGAGAAGGAATTCACTTATTCTAAGAGTAAATTTAAAAAATTTACTTTACATCTTACTCATTCATTCTAGGGAAATCCAATGGTTTGAATTAGTGACTATTAGTCATTTTATCAAACCATTAAATTTCCCTAGAATGAATGACTAGATTTGAAACATTAGATTTCCTTAGAATGTAGGACGAAGATGCGGAGTAGATATTTTAAACTTACTCTTGAAATAAGTGGATTTTCTCTCCATAATTAATAATAACAAGTAATTAATTTCATTCCACTATTCAAAACATTGAAATATCATTTAAAACCAGATGAATAGAAATCAATATAAGTCCTTTTTTTAAATTATTGGACTATCAGTTCTCAATCACATTTTCTAGAAATTATTTCCCTCTTCAACACAGCTGGGAAAGAAGAATTCAGAGACTTTCAAACAGTTTAACAACAAAATTTGTCTAGTGGGTAAAAGGCCAATCACTAAAAGACAGTGATTTGTTAAATAATAGATGTGGCCAGGTATGTGTCCTAATATTATAAAATACAAAGATCTGTATCAGAATGTTTAAAAACCTATAAATAGTATGTATGCTTAAATTGAACTAAAATTAAGAGAATAATCTATCTCTTGGTATAAGGAGATAAGATATCTCATTCAGCCACTAAAATCGTGACATTTGTATCATTTAATCATTTTCTATAAAAATATTTCTAAAACTAAACAAAATAATACACATGTCATTCTTTTACTGACCGAAAAAATAATTTATCTTCTGGTACGAGGAAATACTTTATTCATAAGATAATTATAATTTAAAAAATTAACAAGCTACAACATGGTTGTTAATTCCACTCTTGAAATAATTTGCCCCTATGGCTATGATGACGGAATTTATATAAACAGCTAGAAAGTATAATAAACAAGTGGAACTCGATGAATCAATCCCTTTAAGTATTTCACATATTTAAGGCTGATATTCCATATGAAAAAACATTCGCTGCTAAAATTTTGGGATTTTTTCATTAAAAAAGAGCAAGAGTTTTGTTTGATGACTCTAATATATATATAAATAAATAGAAAATTATTTATTATGAGATTAATGTATAACATTTTTACATTGTAGGCCAAAATATAATTTGAAATAGATTCTAAAACTGATATAACTTAGTGTCTGATTCCTATTTTTTTATTTTAAGAGATATTTGCATAAAGTAGTTAAATATGACATATATTATAATTTTAGTGATTATAGGAGATAACTTATTTGCTTATATGAGAAAATGTTTTACTCTCATTTTTTAAATAATAATTTCATGAAGACAAGTTTTATAGGCTAAATTTAATTAAAAGTAAAATATATTACATTGATTATAATAAAATTAATTTAAAAATATAATAATATGTAAAACGTGCTTGAGAGAGATATAAATAAAAAATAAAAATGATAAAATTGTAATATTTGAAAATTAGGTTATGAGAATTGCTCTTTTGTCTTCTTAAAATAGTTTATTTTGATATCATTGAATATCTTTTTATATATTCTAGTCGAGAATGTAATTCAAGGAAGATTCCAAAACTCATAAACAATATTGTTTTTAGCTTATATAAATACAGCTCTTATTTTATGGAGAATAATAAACAATATTAGTGATGGTCAAAAAAATAGTAAAACACATTAGAAATATTGATGAAATTGTAATATATATTACATAAAGATTAATGTCCTTTGAAAGACGCATGGTTAAGAAAAAGAGTAATATTGTAAATATACACATTATTAACCAACAAGATGTTACGTTGGTTTACTAGTGTAAGACTCCACTATGTTCATAGGATGACCAAAAGATCAAGGATTAAGTTCATGTGAGCGACACTTGTTGGGACTTGTGAGAGACGACCACACACCCCGAAAGAGATTAGTTTTTTACTCAAAAGGTTAGGGATACTCTTGGTAATACAAAAAAAAGTTTAATATCTAAATACTGTCAGTAAAGATTTTTACACAACCACTTTATCATTCACCATTCATTTGAATTACTTTTTTGAAAGAGTCAATAATGATTAAATTTAAATGGTGAATGATGCATTGATAATGTATTAAACTCATGTCAGTGTATACATACACATTAATTCTCATTATAGGACAAGCTGAGACGTATAATACTTGTTTTTCATTCACCTCTAAACATTGACCAGGCCTTATCAGTTAACATGCACTATTTAGTTAATTGTGTTAGCATAAGGTAAAGATGCATTTGGGTTGATCACAGAAAAAAAGACAATCCTAAAATTATAAATTTATATTTGGGACAATAATAACGTCTAAATTTATATATAAGAATGAGTTTAAATATCCATAATATGTGTAACAGCCAAATAAAAATAATATATAGTAAAATATGGCCACAATAACTGTCGAAATCACAATATAGAAATGTTTAATATGACTGAAGAGAAACTAGAAGTAACTCATGTATAACATGCTAATTAATACTTACATATGTATATAAGTATGGTTTCTGATGCCATGCTTCGTGTTCTTGAAGTACTGCAGATTCAGCAATAGTATGATCAGATCAACATATATAATTATATATATACCAATAATCAAGAAGAAGGGATAGATATTATACAAACCAAAAAAAGAAAAAGAAAAAGAAAGAAGAGATGATGCATAGCCAGAAACATGAGACTTGTTCGTACCTTTTCAATTCTCAACTATGTCACATATCTTGCTCATAAATTCTCATGCATCAAAGTCAAAAGTGGTTAAGTGGAAACATGTTTAGAGAATGGAATTTCAAAATTAAATTATCATTTCACTCAATTGCTTAAGAGCGCAACCTAATTTGGACGAATGTAATTGTCTTAAATATAAGTAAGTGGTGGTCAATTATATATGTACACATGTATGTTTTGAAATGTACAAGTGGAACATAGGTGCATGCATGCATTGATTCATGATCATTGAACAACATGAAGAAATTACTATAATGATAGTATATGAGAGGCTGCGCCTTCTTTGGTCTAGATACATTTGCCTCATGGCTCATGTATTTAGGTTTAAATCCCTGAAACCATGTTGCTTTTGAAATTTCATCTTAAAAGAAAAAGGGACAAAGAAAATTAAAGCACCCATTGAATGTAGTTAATATGTGGATTTGGTCAGTGATGAAACTTTGGGCGTTGTGTCACATTTGGTTCCACGCATGTATCCAGAATTCAGTTTCAATTTCAATTCAAACACTCATAAACTGGCTGTTCCTTAAATTCCCTGGTAATAGTACTTTTTAATAGTATTAAATTAGATCTTATTTCCATGTTGGGTCGTTATAAATTCCATAATATTATAATAGTACTTTTCTTTAGGTTCCTCATGGAATATTAATTATTCTCTCATTTCTAAAACTATAATCTTTAGGTTCCTTTTTCCTTTTATATTAGCATTTTGAAAAGGTGTTCTTATTTAATTGTAAAATGTTAGCTTTTTTAAAAGTGCTCTCTTGTTGTCATTTTCAAAATATTTAAAAAAAATATTACATTAAATTTGGATCCATTATTGACTCTGTCATGTACTATGTCACTAATTGAAACATTAGTTGGATTAGACCTTTCAAAATGGGTTGGGGCAGCCGAACAAAGCCCGAAAAGTTATAGAGTTTGCGTACTAAATTTTGAGCATTTTGCTTAAATCGAACTTTTTAGCCCGGTCTGACCGAGCCACAATAAATCCAAGTCCCCCTAAGCCTCTTTAATTTTAGTATATATTGCTAAAACTTTTATATAATTAATATAATAAATAGTATTTAAATATAAATTAATTTTATATTACCAGAGTTTGAAAACAATTATGGCAAAACTCACTAGAGCCCTAATTAAGCAAGGGTTTTGAAAATGAAGGACTCAAGCTTAAAACTCTACGTAAGATTATAGTTACATTGCACCTAAAATTTAAATTGTAAGTTAAGGATCTATCTAAGACTCTCTTAAGATTATGGATGATGATGTGATCATAGTGTTCCTTGTGTGTGTTTTAAGGGAAACTAAATGTTATTGACTTTAATATATTTATTTTCAAAGATGTATTTGTTCATCCATATATGTTTTTGAAAGTAAAAGAAGCTTGAGTCACTTAAGTAGGAGAGGATGAATTGAATTTGGTTCCTAAAATTATGTGTGTATAAAAAATAATATTGAAAAAGCTTATGCTTAGACATTTGACTATAACTTAAAAGAATACATGTAATAAAAGGTATCTCTATCATAGTTAGTAACTTTATACCAATAAATATATTAAGGTTTAAACTTTGATAAATGAAAAGTTTGTTTTCTAAATATTTCATTAACCTTACTATTATTACCAAATTATTTATGTTTATTTTTATCTAAATTACAATTTTTTTAATATACTGAATATACCATTTTTGTATATCAATATTTTACTATTACAATTATGATATGATGATGTTGTATACCAATGCCACTTGAACTTAAGACGGCTAATCGTGGTGGATCTAAGAGAATGATATAAAAAATATATTAGAATATGATAAATAATTAGTATGAGTGAGTGGTTCCGCCACCATGTACTTAAACCTTTTAATTGTCATTAAACAACAAATAAAATAGTCCACAAAAAAGCAAGCAAGTAGCACAATAACAGATAATAACAAATTTCAAATAATAATATAATAATAATAATTCATTCATCTGCTTTCCATTATGTGTTATTCATGTATCTAAGTTATGTTCATGAGTTAATTAATAAGAGGATTACGATGCATTCAAATGTTGGCTAGTGGGGATTAAGCTATAGACTAAATTAAGAAGACCCTAATGCTGGTTTTGGAGCAAGGTTCATTATTTAACTACAACTTGATTTATCACTATTTTAAATTATCTATAATCATGTGAATGGTCACGCGTGCATTCTTTTTTGTATCATTTTTAATGATATATAGTGGCTAGATTCGTAGATACATTTGCATCATCAATGTGCAACAATGACGATATTAATTTGGGGGCATTGATGGCAAGTAGGGAATAAGGTAATAGGAAAATGATATATCTTTTTACAAATTGTTCTCACAATATAACAAAAGTAAAAAAATAAAACATGTGTCATAAAGTAATATTTTATTTATTAATGATTGATTTATAAATAATATGTCACTTTCTTGTAGATATAAAAATTGATAAGAAGATTTAGTACGATGATATATCATTACTTAAAACAAAAAAATAAAGTAATATAATAACAAGAAAGACATGACCAAATTCACTAAATCTTGTGGCTGCTCGGTTGGTACGGTGGTTATAAACAAAACAAGTATCAAAACCAAAAGTTATTGACAATGATGCAATTATGCGAACCTAGTTGAAACTCAATCTTTGAATTGTTTGACATGTTCATGTACCTTAATTGTTTTAAGGATTTGCAGTGCAATTACCACTTGCAACCAAGTTCTGAATTTTCTAGATGATTCTAATATTTGACTCACGTGCCTTATTTAATTTTTTTTAGATGATAAAAATGTTTAGCCGTCACATAAAAACGTTGTGGCTTCATAAATAATATTTGGTCAAGAAACATTCACATCAACCTTTGCAATTCATAGACTTAATAAAAAGAATTAGTAGATTAACAAACTTTCTCGGTAGGAATTAGTGGAGTACTGTGTTTTATATATTTCCATAAATACGTCTCATTTTATTTTTTTCTCCATTTAGATCGACAAATATTAGTCAAGTTAATTTACTGGATTCTTATATTAACCAAATATTTAAATTTACATTCCTCATTAAAGCAAATGTTATTAATATGAATATATTCAACAACGCTCATTATAAGGAGTATTGTTGAAGATGACATATCAACAACATTTACTTAAATGAGCGCAATTGTTATCTACGTCATTTAAATATCAAAAACTGTTTCACTTCCCTCCATACTCTCAAACTTGTTCAGTGGACAAACCTCATATTCACTTAGATCACTTAAGTATCGCAGGCTGTCAAGAGCATTGTTGAATTAGCGTTGTTTAACAATGTTTGTTTAAACGAGTACAGTTAATTTGAATATATTCAACAATACTCATTGTAAGGAAATGGTCCATTGTTTTAGCATCACAAGCTCAACAAATATTCTAGGTTAGTGACTCAACTGATATGAAATGATCAATTGTTCTTTTCACTAACATAAATAATCGTCAATAATATTGATGACCAAGAATATGAAGATATTAATCTCGAAGATGATATTTTTTTGGACATCACAGTCACGTGACAGCTGGCCAACTGGGGATAGTGATTTTTATATAAAAGATAATTACGCTTAGAGGCTTTGGGTGAATCAATATGTTCATTCAAAAAAGGATATTACAATAAAAAACGATCAAAGAAAAATAAAAAATATATGCATGTCTTTGTATAATTATATCATAATTTTATTTGTTTGTAATTTGCATATATTGTACTTGTGTTATTTGTTTGTAATTTTATGTACTCTGCCAAAACATAATTTACATGATATTCTTTGTTTGAAATTTGTATTGTATTAAGGTTAATAATACAAATTTTTGGATATACAGTCATATATTAATGTGTCTGAGCTATTGAGAATATATGTTTATCCTATTGGTAAATGTATATGCAGATATTAATATGTACAATAATCAACAACGCATGATAGTGAGAGCTCTACAAGTGTTGTTCTACAAGTGTTGTTGTATAGATTATGTACAACATCACACATTATAGGGATAATCTTGTATATATATATATACAATTCAACAATGCTCGTTCTTGGTATCACTGCAAGTGTTGTTATATATGATTAATACAACAACGCTCGTTGTAGGTATCGCTGTTGTATATATATAATTCAACAGCGCACATTATAGACAACATTGTTATATATAATTAATACAACAACATTGTTATATATAATTAATACAACAACATATATTATAGGGAACGATGTTGCATATATTCAATTCAACAGTACTCATTAAAGTCAGAGCTGTTGAATTTATCACATATAACAATGCTTAATGAAGTAGGCATTGTTGTATATATTACATACAACAGCGCTCGAAAAAGCGTTATTAAATAATATATATATTTCACTGCGCTTATATAGACAACGTCCGAAAATGATGTTGTATTTCTAAAAAAAAACAAGTTGAACTATCACATGTGAAATAATTTTTTTTAAATGAAATAATACTAGTGTGTATATATATCTAATACATTTAATACATCTGTAGTGAGTTTTCCTTTTAAATGAAAAAAATTGTGTAAAGTAGTATATGTTACCAAAACCGGGAACACCTCAATTTATTATTTTAATTAAGGTCCCACAAACCTTACACTTTTCTTTTTATATTTTGTCCATCGAGCCCCTCCACAAAACTGATCTTTGGGACCACCTGCTTCAATAATTTAGGCAAGTTGAGGTTATAAGAGGACCTATATGACTTTTTATTAAGAAATTAATCATAAATTTATATGATTACGACTTCATTTGTCACTTTGACCTATATTTTGCCAATTCGTTTTTTATTTTTTTATGATAAAGTTTTATATACTGTCATTGTATTATTTGATATACCTTTATATTTAATCATCAGTGAATCTTTAAAAAAGTCATATAAAGATATACTAATCATATATAAATTTTTACACTTAATGCATATATATTAATGTGGCCTATTCACGTAATGTCAAATCATCATCTACCTTCAATTATTGAACATAGTGTCAAATGATCTTCTACCTTCAATTATTCTACATAAAATTTTGAAAATAGCCAGCTCAATGTATGAACTATTGACTTACCCTCAAAGACAGTAAA